TTATTGAGCACTTTGTGCCAAGCACCGAGTTAAGCACTTTATCTACATACTCTCATTTAATTCCCACAACAACCTTATGAGGTAGGTACTGTATCACTTTCATTTAACATATGTGAAAAATGACCCACAGAAAGGTTCAATGATTTGTTCAAGGCCACGTAGTTATTCTGTGCTAGATTTTCAGAGCCTTCAAATGACCCTTTAGTGGAGGAAACTGAGGCCGAGGGAGGTGAAGTCATTTGTCCAAGAACCCATATCCAGTGAGTGTTGGACTTGTAATGCAAACCCAGGCTCTGCCTGGTACCGTAGCCACACTCTTAATCACTACATTGTCATGAATGAAAGCTATTAAAATAGAGAATATGTGCATATTTTTCTAGATTCAGCTCTGTAAGACAAAGCATTCCCTGCACTTAAGGGATGTTGACAGCATGTACTCCCTTGGTAATGCACCACCCAGTATAATGCAGCCAGGACATTTGTAGAAAGCCACATGGTGAAAGCAGCAACTGAGAAAAACAGCTACTCAGGCAGGACGGCAATAGCTGAATTCTCATGTGAGTTTTTCACATGACTTCATGACAGCAGCCGTACTTCATTCTTCCATGGAAAAAATGTTCTGAGTGAGAAAGCCCCTGAATCAGCTGTCCTTCCTCCCCCTGGCCCAGGATTTTCTAAAATGCTGTTCTGATATCACCAGTCCACGTTTGTAGACTTGTAAATGTTATCCTATATGTGAAGTATAATGGAGCAAGGAGTGTGAGGCTAGGAAGAATAGCCTAATTGCCACCCCTTCAGGGATGACAGGCTCTCCAGTGGGAACAGTATGTGGATCAGGGAGAGGCAGGTGGTTGTATTGACAAAAACCCCTCTACTGTACTCCCTTGTCACTTCCAGAGTTTTCATTGGTAATTGGTTTTTGAAATATAACTCGATACTAGTCTTCATATTTGGAATATGATTAATGTTTAATCAGATCATTATTGTTCTTTATTCAAAAATGTAATTTACTGGGTTTTGATGTCTTTTTAACTTTGGTTCTGTTATACCCAAGGAACAGCCTGTATATGTGTGTGTGTGTGTGTGTGTGCACACACATATGCACGTGTGTACATGCTATCTGATTTTATGTTTCCTTCCAGGTCTGTTTTTCTGTGGTGAATAGCTGAGTGGAAAAAGAATGAATAGAAATATTGTATATATAATAAGCTATGCGAGAAGTATACCTTTATTTTATATATATATATATATATATATATATATATATATATATATATGTATATGCGCTCTGTATCAGGAACTGTGTGGACTAAAATGTTATATAAGAGCCCTGGCTGGTATGCACAATGGTTAGAGCATCAGCCCATGCACCTAATTGTTACGGGTTCAATTCCCAGTCAAGAGCACATACCTGGGTTACAGGTTTGGTTCCTGGCTCCAGTTGGGGCACCTGTGGGAGGCAACCAATTGATGTGTCTCTCTCATATCAATGTTTCTCTCTCTCTCTCTCTCTCTCTCTCTCTCTCTCTCTCTCTTTCCCTTTCTCTCCTCTTCCCTCTCTTCCCCCTTGCCCCCTCCCTCGCTCCATTCTACTCTTTCTAAAAATCAATGGAAAAAGTATCCTCAAGTGAGGTGTAAAGAAAAAAAAAATTATATAAGATGCAATCTCTACTCTCAATGGGCTGATTCTACACTTCTTCCATTCAGCAAGTGATCATACTACCTGGGTTCCTAATTCCTTGGTGGATCCAATGCTTGGCTCATTTGTCTTTCATCAGCAGGGCAGCCTGGGAAGATCTTTAATCCCAACACAGTGACTTGGAATTTAAGGTTTTGAAGCCAGAAATGATAAGATAATAATAATGAACACAACGCTAATAATAGTAAATAAAAACTGGAGAGAGGTAAGTGGAGACACATATAAAGATTTTCAAGAGGTGATATGTTCTGGACAAAGTTGGGATATTTTCATGGCTCAGTGAAAATGGAAAAGAGCTTCAAGAGTCAACATTTCAACTAGAAGAGTGTCGGTTCTTTGGTGATAGGTGGGGGAAATACTTGTGGGAGAAAAATAAAAGGAATAGATTGTATTCCTTAACTTTTCTTCCACACAGAAAGCTCTGTTTGATTTAATTGTGAATTCTGGGAGAGGAAGAGGCCCTGCTAGTGCTTTGAAGGGCAAGAGGAAGACAAATCACTGGTTTTTCAAAGAGTAGAGAAAGTTGAAGAAAAGATGGAGGTACTGATAGCCTCAACAACTGAAAAAGCATTTTCTATGGAAAAATATATGTATAAAATATTTAACTGGCATTAAATATCAACAGTGAATCAATTAAAACACCAAAAACACTTTATTTATGTAAGAAGTTTTTTTTGTTTGTTTTAGAAAATATGCTGTTTTAAAACCTCAAAATCACTTCATATGTAATCCAGGCAAAAAGTAGTGTGGGTCTCTGGAGGGGTGAGTACTATAAGAATGAGGAATAATGGACGTGATCTCCAACTGAGTCTTATATTACTTCCTGCAACTCACTATGGTGAGAAGGGTCCAAGTTCAAGAATTTAATGATCAAATGGATTTATAGGTATCAGATGTTTCCAGTGGAACCCAGTATTCCTCCCTTCCCCAATACATGTGTAGGAAAGGTGAAGAAAATGAAAGCCATTTGTACCTGATTCTGATACCATGTGTCTCCCTTCTCCACTTGGGAGCACTGATGGGGAGGGAGAATACCTTCCACCTGGCATATCCTCTGAGTAGCTTTGTGAACTCCTTTGGACTATTATGTTGGTTTGTACTTTGGCTTCTTTGGCTCCCAGAACCAGCTGATGGCCTGATCTGAGTCCCAGTTGGGCAGGCTCTTTTGCTCAGTGCTATAGCTGTCTCCAGGGCATTGTTCTTGAGACTTCCAACAGGGCAGATTTGTGCAGTTGGCCCATCTGGACAAGATCTATAACAAGTAGAGCTCTGTGCAATAAGCTCATCTCCATAGTCCACCCCCTACTACCCCCGCTTTCGGGCTGCAGCAGCCTGACACCCCAGCCCTGCACAGAGAGTATCAAAGAGACACTCTCTGCTTCTTTCAAAAGGGTATTGCTTGTGGCATCTCATTGATTGGCACTACCTTGGCAGAAATGGGAAAACAGGGACTCTCTGCCCCTTAATTCAATCTCTTCCCTTCATCTGGCCCTTTAGTTTTGAATCTCCTTGGCACCAGAGTCATAATATCATCAGTAAGATTAACTTCTGGTCCAGCTATCTTGGTCAGCTCAGAATGCTCTCTTCAAAGTCAAGAGATGGGCAAGAGATGTATCTCAGTGAACAGGAAAGAGCAGGCAAGATCAATAGGAAACAGGGAGAGGGAGTGGGAAACTGAGTTCTTGGTTTTAATATAGGATTTACTTTGGTTACTAGATTTATTGACTTTTAATTCTGAACACTATTTTGAGGAAGAGAGGAAGGAAAGAGAAGGATGGAGAGAGGGGGGAAGGAAGGAAGGGAGAGAGAGAGAGAGAGAGAGAGAGAGAGAGAGATTGGACTTACATAGTTATTTATTTTAGGTCCAGGGAAAGGTCAAGATGTTTAAGAGATTATTTGATCACCTTTGCCTTCCAACTGTTAGCTCTGAACTTTAATATTGCATTTTTTATTCTCACCACAGTTGGGTCATTTCAAAGGACTCAGTGTACCAGATCCATGCTTCCCCATGTCCATATGGTATATCAGGCTCAAAATGGACTCTCCTACATCCTCTCTATTCTGACATTTCTCCTACATCCTCTCTATTCTGACATTTCTGGTATCTTCAAATGACTGCTACCCTTCCTCATTGTAGAAGGAGAAAGAAAGCAAGAGAAGGGTTAAGAAATAATTCCAACTTATGGCTGTCTAACTTCTATAACTGCTACCCTAAGGTTGGCCAAGTCAATGTTTGTTCACGATAGGGGTCCTCTATCCTGGGAGGATAGAGTTCCTCCCAGGCAAATCAAAACCCACTTTATCCTGGAAAAGGTTGCATAACACTATTGTTTGCTTACTAAAAGGAAGTAATGGGGCAAGTTGGAAATGAGGGGCCCTGGGAAATAATGAGACTTTGAAGAAAAGAAACAAATGAAACCCTAGCCAACAAAAGACCTCTCTGAGGATAGTTTCTCCTGGGTTCTACTACCTTAGATTTCACTTTTCTTAAAAGTTTTCTAACATCAGTGGGTAAATTCTTTAAAAAGTAAGCATTTTTAATACTCTCCAACAGCTAAACATGCCCTGTCACCATGCTAGTTAGGGAAAAAACATATTTCGGAGACCAGGAAGTTCAGGTAGGTCTGGAAGGATGGTCTTTTTGAAAGTCCAAAATTCCTGATCTCATTCTGACAGTGTTGAGCATCATAGGAGATCTGAAGACCTCTCGTTGGCTTGTATAGCAATGCCCTACCCCAGTGCAGCCCATGACTGTTCCAACTTTGCTGAGAGGTGGGGAACCTGTCACCTTGCCTTCCTCCTACAGTCAATAAAACCTGACTGAGTCATGCAGGGCAGCACCTGTGGATGGGAAAGACTTATTATTTGCGCTTGTGGTAGGAGGAGGGCAGAGGGCACAGTAAAGGCCCGGCTCTGGGTGGGAGGTCGCAGAGCAAAGAGTGGTGCAGTTTAAGATGATAAGTGTCGGAATCTAGTAGCAGTGATCTGTAATCTCCACTAGAGAAATGGAAAACAGAGGCTTCAGCAAGGGAAGGTCATCCAAGAGTATGTCCAAGATTTACTTTCATGAGCAACAGGATAGCATGGAGAAAATCCAGATTAGAGTAGACAAACTATCTTGTGCAGCCACTGTTGGCATTATATAGTATAGATCCACATAGTTTTGGGATTGGCCAATGAAGTTCTGTGTGGCAGATCATGAAGAAACTGTTTAACCTCCTGATGGAATCTAACAGAAGGGGAAAGTCCATCCATGAGGAAGAAGGAAGCCAACAGTTAGACTCTCTAGTCCTGATCCTATTCACAGTGCCTGGTGGATATCTTCTGACCGTAGTACTTTATAGACAACCCAGTAGAAGATGTTGAAGATGAGGAAAGTGAAAGGGAAGACAGCCCGAGAGATGGTGTCAATCCTCTTGGCTCGGTCCACGTAGAGTTTCCGCATGGTTTCTCTCTCCCTTAGAAGAGGGGCTGGAGGCTGGGAGCTATAAATGCTAGAACCTTCTATTGGACCTTCATCCCTTGCCTGCAGGAAGTGGCCCAGGCCATAGCCATGGAAATAGAAGCGACTTTCTTGGATGATGTCTTCCTCCTAGAATTACATGGGAGAAAAGACAGAATGTAAGGACACGGCTCTAAGGCAGAAGGATAGAGAGCCATCCATACAAATATCTCACAGGTGAGGCTATGCAGACAAGGTATCTGGGTACACAGGCCCTTTGCATGCTTTTTTTATGGCCACAAAACTACTCATGAGATACATATATGCTCAGTATCATATGGTATGTTACGATTTCATTTCCATTTGCAGATAAGCCCCAAGGTGCTTTTTTAAAATGCATAACATCATTTAGAGCCATCTAAAAGCTAGTGAAGTACCAACCCACTGTGGGAGGAACATTTCAATGTTAAATTATCTCTGACTGATAATAAACAGAATAAACAAAAACAATGAAATCTTTAGAAAGCACAGTTGAGATTTTTAGACTTGTTGAATTTGAATTCAGTGACTTTCAAGAGCTACATAATTAATTCTCCATTTACATAGTATCTTTTAAAAATTGTTTATCTCCACTCAAAGATAAAAATTCCAAAAATTTAAATAACCTGGTAGGTTATCCAAATGAGGGTAAAGCTGATTACTCTTTTGCAGATACATGTGTTTCTCTGCAAATCAGATGATTTAGACATAGGGATCAGTACATCTAGGGCAGGGGTGGGCAAACTTTTTGACTCGAGGGCCACAATGGGTTCTTAAACTGAACCGGAGGGCCGGAACAAAAGCATGGATGGAGTGTTTGTGTGAACTAATATAAATTCAAAGTAAACATCATTACATAAAAGGGTACAGTCTTTTTTTTTTTTTTTTTTTTTTTTTAGTTTTATTCATTTCAAACGGGCCGGATCCGGTCCGCGGGCCGTAGTTTGCCCATGGCTGATCTAGGGTAACATTTCTTAACCAGTACACATTCTTTTCTCTATGCTACCTGCATTATGACGAACACATTAACATTGAGGAAGTAAATTTTATATAAGCACTAAGTAAGGTAGCAGACTATGCAAAGTTCATTTATCTAATCTTCAGCTGACAACTTTGCATAGCTATAACACAGCTGAGAACCAGGAAGTAAGGACAGAAATATAGAGTTAAGAGTAGAGATAGAGAGAAATATAGAGATAGAGAATGAGAGAGATAGAGGAGGGGGGGAGAGAGAGAGAGAGAAAGAGAGAACCAATGCCCCTGGATGATGAATAGAGAGAGCTTTACTCATATAAGAGCCTTTCAGGCCCCCCACTCAGATCCTATTTACTCTTTGTTTATATACAACTCAAACACGCCTAATTTTGTCTACAGTGCTATCAGAAATGATAGTTTACAGCTTTGAAATTAGACAGAAGACAAGTAAATATATACCAGAACCTAGAAATACTTCATTCAAAGATGGTTACAATTGTTAAGAGTATTGATGTTTACAAGAGTAAAAGCTTCAGCTAAGAAAACACCTGAAGTGAAATGCCCTCTTGTGTGATGATGCCAACTACTTTCTGGGTTTGCCCAGGACTGAAGGCTTCCTGAGACTGGGGGATTTCAGTGCTAAAACAGAATAAGAAATATGCTTGTTGAATGGATGTGACATAGATATACATAAAATGTGAATACAGTAGATTTTTTTATTTTTTTATTAAATCTTTATTGTTCAGATTATTACATTTCTTCCTCTTTCCCCCCACCCATAACTCCCCTCTTCCCAGTTCCCACCCACCCTTCGCCCTCACCCCCCACCCACTGTCCTCATCCATAGGTGCACGATTTTTGTCCAGTCTCTTCCCGCATCCCCCTCACCCCTTTCCCCCCCAAGAATAGTCAGTCCATTCCCTTTCTATGTCCGATTCTATTATAATCACCAGTTCATTCTGCTCATCAGATTATTTATTCACTTGATTCTTAGATTCACTTGTTAATAGATGCATATTTGTTGTTCATAATTTGTATCTTTACCTTTTTCTTCTTCCTCTTCTTAAAGGATACCTTTCGGCATTTCATATAGTACTAGTTTGGTGGTGATGAACTCCTTTAGCTTTTCCTTATCTGTGAAGCTCTTTATCTGACCTTCAATTCTGAATGTTAGCTTTCCTGGATAAAGTAATGTTGGTTGTAGGTTCTTGGTATTCATCACTTTGAACATTTCTTGCCACTCCCTTCTGGCCTGCAAAGTTTCTGTTGAGAAATCAGCTGACAGTCGTATGGGTGCTCCCTTGTAGGTAACTGAGTTTCTTTCTCTTGAGATGTGAATAGAGTAGATTTTTACACATGCCGTGCAATTAGAAGGACATCATAGGGTTCTTATAATGGGACCTCTGAAGTTGTGATAACATATTGTAAAGTGGCTTCATAGATGAGATGTTGGTCTGTTGGGTCCCAATAACCTTTAATTATTATATCACTAGAAGGCCTAGCTTATCATCAGGCATCAAGGAAAGGCAAGCTCAAAGCAGAGATTCGACAACAGATCCCATTTCTTTTCCCGCTTCCTATGGGCTCCTGGTACCAACTTGGGAAAAAGCATTAGTCCTGTTCACTGCTGTGTCCCCCATGCCTAGCACAGTATCTGGCATCTAGTAGGCATCCAGTGGATAGCAGTTGAATAAATGAATCATCTGATGAGCCACATTCTTCAGAATATAGGACAGGGAATGGATTTGTTCACATGGAGGCAGATCTTACTCAGTTACAAGTCCTTGCCAGAAAAAAATTACTCCTTGCCCCACCTCCGCACAATGTCCTCATGCTCTCAGCCTCTAGAAAGGGTAGCACCTTTGGCATAGGGAAAAATCTCTCTTAAATCTGCCCACAAGAGAGCTTTGCTACCCAATCATTGATTTTGCCAGGTTTTGTGGAGATAGTTGTATGAATAGTAGGCCAGAGACAATTCACAACTGTGGTTTTGCTTTGGCCCTGAGTTGTTACAGTGGGGCAGCCTTAGCTCTCTGCTCAGTTATTTATGTAACCTTAGTTACCAAAGTCCCTGGCTCACCTAACCTGTATTTTCAAATTCATTTCCACATTATTCCTACATGAGAGATTGTGCTACATCCATTTTAGAGATGAAGAACCAGAGGTAAAGAAAATAACCCCCAAATAATTGAAAAATAAGGGAATAAATAAAATGATTTTCTGTTTTGCTTTCCAGTTCAGGTTCCCCATATCCCCCATTCCTCACTGCTCATCTTGATCCCCTCAGCGCCCCCCCTCCCAGCAAGAAGATACAAGCATGAACTATATGTTTGCAAAAAGCTCTGAAAGAGAATTGAATCCAATGGCTGTTTCTATAGATCTAATTATTTACCCCTTTCTGCAATCACAGTAAATTTAAAGGGAAATGTTTCCAAGGCTGAAAAATGCTATTTTACACAGGAGAAAAAATGTGGCTAATATAGAGTAAGTGGTTCTTGGCTTTAAGAAATTTTTAAAAATGTATTCTACCATTTGTAGTTGGGGGAGCAAAGATAAGTGGACTGAAATCCAAGGGCGGGGGTCCTGGATTTGGGTATTATCTATTTAGGCCCAGATTCTGAAGTGTGTGTGTGTGTGTGTTGGGAGGGACAATGGAGACTTACACAACACATTATTGCTTCCACAGTTATTGAAATAGAATATTTTTTGTTGTAGCTATATATAGGGGAGGAGGGCTGGGGAACTAGAGAGGGAGGATATTCCAAAACCAAGCTGGTAAGGGAATGCACAGTGTGGGAGGTGAGGTGTGGAGATGGGAAAGGGTGATAGGTATTGAATGATAAGTATTGAAGTGAAGAGAAGAGATTGGAGAATGGAGGAGGGTGCTGGGGAAGGGACAGAGGCAAGCAGCATTCTGGGGCCAAGTCCCTGAGAGGACTTGGCAATATTTTGAAATTTCTTCCATTTCTCAAGATGTTCTATTGATAATGCCAAGGCTTCCTCTCTGTCCAGCTTGAAAAATAGCCCTCACCAGTCAGCCTACAAAGGTTGGTGAACTGGGTTAAATGGTACTGTGTCCAGAGCCTGGTGCTAGGCTTCAGTGAGGTTATAAAAACAAGAGAGACAGACCCTTCCCTGTGACACTTAGACTAGCTGGGAAGACAAATCAGAAATATATGGGAAAAGGGTAAACTACTTTAGACAGTGACATGGAAGAAGACCATCATGCAGTGGAATTTGGTGGTTGAGGAGAGAGTAGAGAAGAACAATATTAAGCCTGGAGTTGGGTGAACAGCTGGCCAGCTCCTAGAACACACCTAAAATTCTCTTGGCTATGGGTTCCCTGAAAAGCATATGGATTATCTTCCTTCCCTTAAAAGGGCTTCTCTCAGACTAAAGACTGCTGCTTCTCCAGCAGGGCCCAGAGAGAGGTTCCAGAAATGGATCAACTCTGCATCAATTTTTCCAGCCAGCTTAGTGATTTCCAGGATCCCTGCTACCATTCCTCTGGGATAGCAGTAGCTTTAGGAAACTTGAAGTGGGCCATGGACTAATGGTTTGGATTTTCAAGTTTTATTTACATTAATAGTAAGCCCAGCCCACTTTCAGGCAGGATCCATGAGCCTAAGCAGGGCCCAGGCTACTGTTATAACTGTCATAATTGAGCACTGGTTATGACAGACTCCATTATGAGATCAGGATCCACCTATATACAAGTAGGAGGGGATAGGCTGTGGGCAGTTTGGGGAGGGAGAGGTGAAGGGGAGATGGTGGGGCTAGTGTCAACCAGTAGCTCTACATTAACTGCAGCAGTCTTATGTTGCTAGGACACTCACACAGGCAATTGAGCTGTAAAAAGGAATCTGGAACTGTTTGGAAGTCTACTCTTTTTTTCCAAGGTAGGCATTGAGAAGGCATCAAGATCAAAATTCCTATAACAATAGGATTTTGGTAGCTGCAGGAAGGTTTGACTTAGCTAAAGAGGGGGTAGGGACAGTTATATTAGACAATAGTGCACCCTCTTGCCCTTATGCCAAGTCTGTATATTTTTTCTATCCTTCAGCATGGGATAGGAAGGGCTTATACCAGTAGGTCTGTTGAAGAATGGGTCTTACTCAAGGAGATGCAGTTATGAATAATTCCACTAGAGGGCGGAATTCCCAGGTCCCAACCAAAGGATTAAAGCAGGGCAAGAATTGATAAATTCCTAAAAACCGGAAGATGAGACAGGAGCCCTGCCTTCATCATGACATATGGTAGGGGTACCTCGGGAGCAGCTCAGGTGGGAGGTGGGGTGTTAGGAGGAGAGGAGCTTTAGTGCTAGAGTTGCTTCAACAGTGGGCTCAGAACATCATTTTTCTCCCCCCTTCCCTCTTCCTCCTCCCCAGAGATAATATGTGCTTGCCCGTCTGGCTTTTGAGCATCCATACTAGGCAGAAAGCAATGAGACAGACCTGAACTCTGTGTGTGATGATTAAGCGACTAGTATGTAGATCAGCAAAGCTTTCAGCTTTGCTCATACATTGGCATTTGTTTCTGTGAGTGGCTCAGGCACCTCTGTTGCCATGACAACGTACCTAACACCTACTGTCTGGGCAATGGGGGTAAACTGCCTCCGTTGTCATGACGACAAGATCCTTACTCAATTTCCCCAGGTGATCACTCTATTTTAGAAGATACGGGGTTAGCAAGCAAGAGTAAGAGAGAACAATTCATATCCAACAACTCTGATGCATCCAATGAAGATCAAGGCAAAGAAATCTAACAGCTAGAAGAGGCAAGTGATGGCTTCTCAATTACAGCATAGCTATGAGAGCCCTTATAAAATCCTCCCCTGGACTCAAATTCTTTTGTTCTGTTTTGTTTGTTAATCCTCACCCGAGGATATTTTTCCATTGACTTTTATTTATTATATTTTATTGATTTCAGAGAGGAAGGGAGAGGTAGAGAGAGACAGAAACATCCATGACGAAAGAGAATCACCGGATCAGCTGCCTTTTGCATGCCCCCTATTGGGGATTGAGCCCACAACCCGGGCATGTGCCCCTGACCAGAATCAACTTCGGACCCTTCAATCTGCAGGCTGATGCTCTATCCACTGAGCCAAACTGGCTAGAGCTATTGAATTCTTAATCAGTATATGACAACCTGGAGTACCTTTCTCTTGGGTGGAAGGAGAGCCAGGAGCAACCATTACTAATTCTCAAAGCAATCTCATATGAACTAATTTGATAAGGTTCTAATACTGGCTAACATTTTTTTCTGTGTTTATGTGCCCAGCCCTGTGCCCATGCTCTTAATCACTCTAGGAGATTGCCCTATAGGCATTAGTGTTCCAATGGACAGATAAGGAAATGGAATCAAAGGGATTAAAGTACTTAACTTCTCTGTGACCACACGGGGACTAGAATCCAGGGTTTCTGATTGCCTGTCTAGTCCTTGCAGACCTAGGTTTGGTCTAGTTTGTGGGAGTAGTGGTAGGGAGAAAGGAGTCCTGGGAAGAAAGGAAGTTGGCCCCTCCCTAATTATACACACCATGTGCTGGCGCCTCTGCCTTCTTCGAAGTCTTATAAATTCTTTATGCTGACAGGAGACAAAATTCACAGCAGCGTACTCCAGCAGGGCAGCGAACACGAAGAGCAGACACACAGCCATCCAGATGTCGATTGCCTTCACATAGGACACCTGTAACATCCATCAACAGAACAGTCAACCTTTCTAGAGTTCTTCCATGGCCTATCCAGTGGGTTGTCAGCCCATATCAACTACCTGCTATTCTTCAGTTTTATCTTGAATTTCTTCTGGTTTTTAAAGAAGCTTTTTTACCATATGTTCCATTGTCTGAAGTCCTATGTCAGATTATCCTTCACCTCTCTACACTGTTCAACCTCCACTTCCATCTGCTTTTCCTCCCTATACCTCTCTCTCTCTCTCTCTCTCTCTCTCTCTCTCTCTCTCTCTCCCTTCCTTCCTTCCTCCCTCCCTCCCTCCCTCCCTCCCTCCCTCCCTCCCTCCCTCCCTCCCTTCCTTCCTTCCTTCCTTCCTTCCTTCCTTCCTTCCTTCCTTCCTTCCTTCTTTCCTTCTAATTCTGATTATTCTTTTTATTCTTATCTTCTTCTGATGCTTTTTTTTGTTAAACCTTACCCAAGGATATTTTTTCCCACTGATTTTTAGAAAGAGAGGAAGGGAAGGAGGGAAGAGAGAGGCGGGGAGAGAAAAAGAAACATCAATGTGAGAGAGACACATAGACTGGTTGCCTCCTGCATGCACCCTGACTGGGGCTGGGGATCAAATCTACAATCCAGGTACGTGCCCTTGACTGGAAATCGAACCTGTGACCTTTTGTTGTGTAGGCTGATGCTCTAACCAGTGAACAACACTGACAAAGGCATCTTCTGAGTCTTTTCTTTCAATAAATAGCAAACAACATGAGTGTTGCATTTGTTGGCCCTTTTCTTTTTTTCCCCTTTTATTTTCTAGAGTTCTCACAAACATGGTGGTAATTGGTCAGGGTTCGTTATTCCCCTATGAGACATGTGAGGACAGTTGAGACCTAAGAGAAAAAGTCTTAGCCAAGATCACCCAGTGAGAAGGCATAATCTTGGAGTTAGGGGTTCTGAGCTTTTGATTCGGTGACACTGCCATTTACCTAGGCTGAAGTCTCAATATCATATTAGGAGTTCCTCCCTTTTCCTCCTCCACCCCTGTTCTTCCCTTGACATTGTGGTTTTTCCTACAGCTCTTTGTGAGAGTCCTCTGCTAAGGAATTGAGCTCAGTGGCAAGTTGGGGCCTCATATCCTACACAGTAGAGCAGAACAAGGAAGGGGTCCTCAGAGAGTGCTACCCACCCCGGCTATGGAAACTTCTCTATGCTTGCCATCTCCAATCTGTTTTCAAAACAGTAGCTAGAGTTTTGTTTTCAAAATGTAAATGTGATTATATCACTCCCCTGCTACCAACCCTTCATTAGCTCTTCAGTACCCTTACAATACAGTCTATACTTCCCATAGTGTAACATCTTAGTTACCTCTGCCTACTTCTTCAGTTCCATCTTACCCCTTGCAATCTATGATCCTGCCATGGTGAACTATTTCAGTAGTTTCTCCAGGAGACAATATCTTCCTGTCTCTCTTACCTCAATAACTTTTACTCTACTATTCACTTTAGATACCACATTCTTTGGGAAGCCTTTCTTAAACATTCCAATCTGGATTGGTTGCCTCTGCTCTATGTGCCCATGTTACTTAAAATTTCTTAGCATCCATCAAATACAACTGGCCATTTCCTTCACTAGACTGAACTCTTGGATGGCACGGACTATTTCTATCATATCCACTGTTCAATCACAGTGCCTAGCTGAGTGTCTGGCACATAAGTACATATTTTTTGAAAGAATGGGTGGATGGATGAATGAGTGGGTGGTTTAGCAATGTATTTTTCTGTACTGGTTTCTTTTTCCTGTTTTTGTCCTCCTCACTACTACCTACCCCAAGAACTATGGGCCATTTAGATTGCAGGATCTTGAGAGAATTGGGTCACTTCTCCAACTGTTGTGGCTTTAGGTCTAATCTTTCAGTCCCTGGTAGAATATTCCATTTAGCCTTTCAATTCTACACTGAGCCACCTGGCATTGTATACATCAAGAATGGCAAGGAGACAGAGATCAATGCCTTTGGGAACCCCCATATGACAATGAAGAAGTAGTTTCCTGGGGACATGAGGAATGACTATCCCAGCCGAGTTCCTTCACAAAGTGAGCCTTTGCTTCTCTCATCCTCCACACTAAAGTTGTACTGGGGTGGTATTGGCGTGGTTTTCAGAAGCCCCTGACCTGGCCCCACCTCTTTCCTTGGGGCTTCCACCAAATTTAATATTGCACAAACTCAAGAATGAGCAGAAGCTCCCTGATTTACTCAGTCCTTTGTTCTGTGGGGCTGGTCAGTGAAACTATTTTGTTTGGGGTACATGTCTTCATATTTTGCTTACTGGATAATAGGTCAACAAAAAGGTCATCAAAATCTACCCAGAGGGCAAGACAGAATGAGTTAGAGAAGAATCTCTTTGCATGGCTGTGGCAGTAAACTAGGGCAGGGCTCTTAGGTCTGAACTACTTTTCTGCCTCTGATCTTCATGCAAGGCCATTAGCACAAAACGGCCATCATAGACCCTCCTTAATACCCCTGGCCATTTAGAAAACATAATCATAGGAAAAGATCTCTGACAATTTCCCCTGGGACACTTGATACTAATTTGAACTTTGTCACCTATTATCCCTAAAGGTGTTGGTCCACCTCAAATATTTACTGGTATCTTAAAAATAATTGGGATCATAACCAGTTGCTTTAGCTCTAGGTCTACCACTCAGTTATTTCTACCCTGACAACTAATAATTACAATAATAGCTAGCATTTATTGAGTGGTTACTATTTGCCAAACACTCTTCTGTGTTAATACATTGTCTTATTTATTTTTTAATAACCCTCTAGAAGAGGTAATATTTTTTAACCCTTGTTTTTGGAAGAGGTAATATTCTTATTCCCATATTACAGGAGAGGAGATTGAAAGGTTTAGAAATTTCCTAAGGTCACCATTAGTAAACGATAATGCTGGGACTTTAAGCTCAAATATGCCTGACTCTAATCCCTTTTAACCACTACTCACCCTCATTTAGCAAATTGGTAAATTTACTATGGATCTTCAGATTACTCCCTTTTTAAGTCCCCAGTAAACTTATTAGGAATGAGCACTAGGAGATGAGAGATCACAGGTCCTGGTTCCCATCAAATCAGAACAAGAGGGAATATGTTCATTGTAAAATCCACAAGGAATTCTGTTGTTTTTGCTTCCCATGATTTCTCTGTGGCCTAGTGCAGTGTCTGGTACATAGTATATGCTCATTAAATATTTATAGAATGGATAGGCTTTCTCCCTAATTTTTTTCAGAGACTTGCTGACCATAAGGACTTTGAGGTGACCTCTAAATTCCATACATGAAGACACAAGGCAGGGAGATCCCAGCCCAGTCCCATCAGCACAAATCTTTTAGCGTAATCAAAATATCATCGGGCCCCAGATGAGCAGAGTCCACTGATTTTAATCACTATTTGCTACCTCAACTTTTTCACACCCCAAAAGAACAGACATTGTCTCTAGAGCTCTTTGTAATAGTATCCGATTTCTGACATAGTGAGAGACAGCTGTTGGTTTAAAATGCTTATATTTCTTTGTTTCTTATGGGCTATGACCTTGAGAAGGTCATTCTGTATTGGGCTGTATTGTCCTCATCTGTACCATGGGGGAGGGAAACTTCCTACTTGCTAAGGGTCTTTTGATTTTAGACATGCTTGTATTTCCTGGTGAAAGTCAAAGTAAATCAGGCACTATCTCTACTTGTTCCCTAGCCAGACAGCATCCATGACCCCAGCTTCCACAGTTAGCCGTATGTTATGGAGGAAGAGAAAGAAGCCACTTGTTCTTGCTCAATGGCTCTTCTCTACCTTAAATCCAAGGAAAATAGTGAGCAGGTGGGACTTGGGATGAATGGGAAACAGGGAACTCTATGGCAAGCAAGTTCTATTGCACGTCTCTTCACCTTTGGCAAAGAGGCTCGGGAGCCAGAGCTCTGAGTGGTCATGGTGAGCACGGTCGTGATTCCTAGGCCCACACGGGCAGGTGCAGCATCCATGTTGATCCAGAAGGAAACCCAGGACAGGATGACGATGAGTAGGCTGGGGATGTACATCTGAATCAGATAGTAGCCCATCTGCCGTTCCAGGTGAAACTTTACCTCAATGCAGGTGAATTTCCCTGCAAGGAAAGAGGTGAGTTATGAGGCCCCAGGTCTCCAGCCTGCAGCTGAGCCTGAGAGGCAGGACTGGGGGAGTCTTATCTCCGAGGGATAGCCTCTGAGTTCCTCAGCTGGACCAATAAATGAGTCTTCAAAATGGTCCCAGGGAGTGCCAAATGTGTTTTGAGGAAGCTCTCAGAGCAGCCATCAAGGACTTGACCTCCTGCTCCCAGCATTTTAGTTTCCAGCAGAAGGCCTTCCATATGATATCACTACAAGAGGATTAAGGGCAGGAGGGCTGCAGAGACAGACTGCCTGGGCTTGAATTCTGAATCTTCCATTTACTAGTTATATGACCTCAGGGAAAACACCTAACCTTTTTGAGTTTCAGTTTCCTTGCTTGTAAAACAGAGTAATAACAATATCAACTTCATCACTGGGCTATTGTGGGAATTAAATGAGATAATGTATTTTTGGTGTTGAGCACATAGGTAGCTGGTACTACTGTCATTATTAAGAAAGCAATGAGCTTAGACTCCACTCAAATCTCAGCAGCCTTGCTGGTACTCTAGAAACTTTCTAACAATGATTCACTGAAATAAACACTATCCATGTCTTAAGCAAGTGAGAGCAGCTGACTAGCACACATCTGGAAACAATGTCCAAGAGAGACCAGCTGTGGAGAGCATGCAGCGGGTTGGTTCCTACAGAGTATTGAGCAGCAGCATTCTAGTCCACCAACAAAAGCTCCAGGCACATGTACCAATGCGTTGCCTTCTCTGCCAGCCATCTTTATTTTGCCTTGCTTCCCACACCCTGAGACTAAGAAAACACTAGCTCAGAGCTTCTCTTAGAGGCAGAGATTCAGAATAACCAAAGCAAAAAGCAGAGGATGTGTATACTGTTATTTTATTTTGGCTTAGGCTTGCTGTTATCAGGCCTGTCTTATTCCTCAAGGCTGGTGATTTCATGAGTGACTGATTATGGGTTTGGCATGCTGTGTGATGCTGTGATCTCCTACTGCTCCTCCCCTAGTCCAGCCCACCTCACCTCACTCTGGGCTTCTTGTCATGACATGCCTTTGCTAGGTATCCATATTTTCTTTTCTTCTTCAATTATTGGTTATAGCAGTTTTGTTTGTAATGACAAAATTCACACTTGTTTAGTACAGAAAAGAGTGAGAAGTAGAGAAGGAATGATATTCATAAGCTGACAAGCCCCTACTAAGTACTCTGACTTTACTAAGTTTGTCTCATTTAAATCCCATAGAAACTCTTTAGGGCAGGAAAACATTATTTTCCATTTTACAGATAGAAATACTGAGGCTTGAGGAGATCAAGTTATGCTTCTCAAGGGTACCCAACTGGTAAATGGTGGAGCCAGAACTCAAGCTCTGCTCTGACTCCAAAGTTCTTGCTCTTATCTAAATACATCACACTACTTTAAAAACATTTTGTGCTATTTCCTTCCAGAATTTTTAACCACGTGCTTTTGATTTGTTTCTTTTACCACAATATATTATTCTGTTTATATAACTTTGAATCTAAGCCTTTTCCACTTGTAATTTCCCCTGTTGCTATAAGCAACTTGCAAGCATCCTATTAAACATCTGGGTAATGAGGCATTATGTAATTTACTTAACCTCTTTCTTATTGGTGGATATCTACAATTCCATGTTTCTGCTAGTATAAACAGTGACCCAGGAGCCTTCTTGGGATCTAACGTCAATATGATATTTTAAAATATTTCCTTATAATAAATTCCAAAGAATGGGGATTCCTGGATCAACACGGAGGAAAACATTTTTAGCTTCTAAAGTTTCTCAAAACATGTCCCCTGGACCACCTGCATCAGAATGCTCAGGATGGTTTGTTCAAATGCAGACCAGAATCTCTGAGGGGGAGAGCCCAGGAATCAACATTTGAATAGGCTCCCCAGGGGACTACATACAAATTTCCAAGTTTCCCCCCTCAATAAGGTTATACCAATTTCCACTCCCACCAGCATTTAAAAAAATTCAATGGTCCATTCCTCTCTTCACTCCCTACACAGAAACTCACATATTCATAGGGTGGCACACCATAGGAGGTACCTAGGATCTCTCCTCTTCACCCTGTGATCTCTATCTCAGGGTCCTAAGTCTTAGCAGCGAAATTGCCAAGGGAATTGAGAAAGAAGCAAGGGGCAGATGATCTGGCAACTCCTCTCTACCCGCTAGCCCATATTTCACACCTGGGAAGACAAGCTAGTCCAAGAGAGTTAGGCAGTAGTAGGAGGTGTGGAAAAGAAGCTGGCAAGTGCCCTGAGGCCTGTTCCCTCCTGGTTCAGCCAAGTCATTGACTACTTCCAGAGGTATCTTCACCAACCTTCCCCATGAAGTTGACCCCAAGACAGGTGGAACGCTCCTTCCATTCAGTGGCACAGGCCCATTTGCTCTGTAGCATGTGACAGGGACAAGAACATGGGCTTTGGAATTAGATCAATCTGAATTTGAATTCTAAATCAGTCATTTAGTAGCTGTATGATTTGAGCAATTGATTTAACTTCTTAGAACCTCAGTTTGCCCTTTCAGAAAAATGGGGCTGATAACCCCTGCCATAATGAGATGAGGAATATAAAGCACTTAACACTATGTCTGACATAGACTGAACCTTCCATAGAAGTTGGCTGCTTTGCCCCCTTTCCTCCCTTCTGGAGGCCCTCCTGTGACTCAGCCAGTAAAGACCCTGGTTTTTTTTTTTTTACCTGTGTTGTAGTGTTTGGTACAATAGCTTAGATCCTTTTCATCTCGCAAGATAAACTGGGGCAGAGTCAGCCCCTCAGCCACTTGGACAGCAGGAGCATCTTCCAGCCACTCAAACACGAGGTCATTCATGGTATAGCCAACTGAAAGTGACAGAGATGGCAGAGGGTTGCAGATTGTGGGTGTTGGATAGGGGTAGGGCGAGGTTTAGAACTGGCCAGAAAGAACAGATGAGGAGTAAGGCCTGGATTTTAGGAGCTCCATGCTCATCTGGGGAAGGGAAACCTTTCTGAAGAGATTACTTGGTCAATTGTCTCATAGGCCCATCTAAGTGGACAAATCAGAAATATTTCCAGCTTCTCTCCTATCTAGTTCTCAGGCATTAGTAAGGCCCAAAGAGAAATTATTCTGGCAGACCTAGAAAGCAGGTCAAAAGGTTGGAAAGATGTCAAGGAACCCAGCTGGGAACCTCTTGCCATATCTCAAACCCAGGGAAGTAAGCATGTGTACCAACCACATGTCTCAAGCAGAGCCAGCCTTAGAGCCAAGGCTTCTGCTACCTCACCCCAGAGAGGAAGAGCTGTTTATGCCCTAACAGTTATGCGTGGGATAATGTGCACAACATAGACTTTTAGCTGGAGCCCTGAACTGAGGAAAATGGAGAGCTAACATAGGAACATGCCAAGTTGCTCACAGAGAGAAATTTGTGAAGGCTCCTGTTACATCTATGGCCATATTTACACATGTCAGATAGAAATGGAAGCAGAAACACCAAGGCTCACAAATGTCCAGAGTAGGGCCTTGACCCAGAGTAGCTTGTCATAGTAGGAAAGTCCCATCCCCTTCTGTAAAATGCTCTACCTACTTTTTAGAATTGTGAGAGGGTAATGGGAACCTGGTCATGAAATTGGTTTATGAACTCTAAAGAGCTGACCACATATGGCACATTCTAGCTGACAAACTTATTACATGCTGGAAACAGCTTACCGAGCCTTGTTCTCTGAGGACTGAGTGGATGCCTGCTGATCTCAAAGTCTCACCTTGCCCATGTGATGGCAAAGGAATGGACATAAGTGATGGTTCTACCTTGTCCTTTAGCTTCTCTGTACTTGGGGCAGCCCCTGTAGGCTGGAACCTCTGCCATAGAGTAGATCTTGGCTGACTTTGCCACCCTGGACACTGTCCTAAGCCTACAACTGTCCTCTTCCACCTCTCTACAAAAGTTATCTGCGTTCATGAAGTATTCGGATTCAAAGAATACCCCGCCCCTGCCAACTCTGGCAGTTTTACAGGCATCTTGAATGTCTTAACTCAGGAGGAGTTGAAGTAGAATTACTTCAGGCACTGTGAGAGGGAACGTATTTTGGGCAGAGGAAGTGCCCCTTAAATGGCCCCTCATAACAAGCATAAGGAAATTTGTATATAAGATGGGCCTTCCCATTTCCAGCTCCATGAAACAGCCAGGTCAGCAAATTGTGTGGGAATGGAAAAACACACTGGGTTGGGTGTTAGTGAGCCCTGGCTTCTAGTCTCATCTGTGTCAAGAATTGTGTGTGCTTGGCGATGTCCCTCCCCACTCTGGGATGCCCTTCTCCTGTCTGGAATATCATGAGATGGAGTTAACTAGCTGGGATCCCAGGCCTTCCTCTGTGACTCTCTAGGGACACTTATAGCTCTCCAGTTGCATTATGCAGGTCTGGATGTCCATAGGGAAGTTCTTGAGGTCCATTGGACAGGACAAAATGAGAGTCAGCCTGGCAGGGACAGTAAGAAATAAGTGACATTGGTTCACTGGGGCCAAGTACAACACAGGGGACCCCCTTCCACCCCTCAGATTCCACCTAGCTTCTTTTTGACCCAAACTCTCCCACATACCTGATGCTGTAGAGCACATTCCCATTCTTGAAGATGCGCAGTAACTTGTTGTCTGTGGTCACCTCATGGAAGTTGGCCCCTTTCTCATTGGCAAAGAACAGGTCTGGTTTCCAGATAGAATCCAGCATGGAAGGGTCAAGGTCCAGCGAGTCATCAGGATATTCTTGGTAGGCCAGTCGTGGGTCGTGCCATTGCTGCCGCAAGAAGACATTCACCCGATAGTCCTGCAAGGGTACAGATATGGGTCCATCTGAGGCAGTGATATTCCAGGAGCTCAGCAAGCCATACATGGACAGGAGGGACATGAGATAGAAATGCTGAGATCACATCTCAGAGGTAATGGGCATTATCCACTGGAGAAGGAGCCTGTCTTGCGCTGATATGGCAAAGATGGAAAGGTAAAAGACATTTATTAAGCACTTACTATGCACCAAGTTGTCTGCTAAGTGCTTTCTTTATGTGTTTCACCTCATTTAAATTTCACACCCACTCTGTGAGGAGGGTGTTGTAATGACCCCCATGTGACAGATGAGGAAACTGAGACAGAGATTTAAGTAACCTGCCTAAGGTCACACAGCTATTTGAGGTAGTCAGGATTTGAACATAGGCTTTCTGATTCCAAAGCCTGTGCTCTGCAGCAAGCTACCTCCCAATCTGGACCATCTGCTGCTTAGAATAGTCTGCCTTTATCACTGAAACCAGGAACTGGGGAAAGAATTCCTCCCAGTGACCAATTTTACACGTACCATAGCTTTAGCTATGACCATGAAACTGGAAGAGGACAGCAGAGGGAGAGAAGGCTTGCTATCTAGAGGGCTTCACCCATTCACATTAGAGTGGAAGTGAGTAACAGAGAGACCTTACCATGGTAGTCTCAGTGACAGAGCCAAAACTATTGATGAAGATGTTGCAGGTCACATTCACGGGTGGGCCTAAGGGAGCAAAGCACAGTCACATTGGCAGGGCATTCCATGTGGCTGGGAGCAGGTTCAAGGACTCCCTCCTTGAGCTTAAGGCTAGAACACTGCTAGGAGAGGGCAGTGCCCATGGGCAACAAGGAGGAGAAGCTCCTTCTGAATTTTAAGAGCTAGCCTTGTACCTCTAATTTCAAGCAATAGGAGCTGTCTTGGCAGTGTGTCCTCAAAAAGGTGAGGAAAGGGAGGGTTTTTTTTTTTTTTTTTTTTAGAATGAATGATTCTTACCTTTAAAATTGGGCCGAATCCTGGCATCATATCCAGATGTCTGCCCCATAAGCTTGTCAAGGAAATCAGAGGGCGACATGGTCTGGGACCCCTTGGTCCCAGATTCTATTTCCTCTTTTGCCAAGGCCACCCTGGACAGGAGAGATAACATGTCTGAGGCCAGTTGTATTCTGCCTTTACCACAGATCCTTTTTTCCCTGTTCCTAATCACCTCTGGCTGATCTTCCCATCAGGCAGAAGGATGGGACAGAATGCGTCTCTGGGTGCCACAGCCATAAACCAACATGGCAGTTCACCAGTTAGGTCTAGAAAATGGCTTTCACATATATTAGATTTTTTACTGTCACCATTCTCAGTGTCATGGGGGTGAGGACTATTATTTCCATTACACATGAGAAAACTGAGGCTTCCAAAAGTGGAGAGACTTATGGGGCTCTAAACTTGTGCAACCACTATGGAAAACAGTATGGAGGTTCCTAAAAAAAATTAAAAGTGGAATTACCATATGATCCATCAATCCCCACTTCTGGGTATTCATCCAAAGAAAACAAACAGTCATTTGAAGAAAGAGATATTTAGCCTTATATTTATTGCAGAATTATTTATAATAGCTAATATATGGAAGAAATCTAGGTGAACATGGATAGATGAATGGATAAAGAAGACACATACACTGGAATATCACACAGCAATAAAAAGGAATGAAATCTTGACATTTGAGACAACATGGATGGACCTAGGGTATTATGCTAAATGAAATAAGTCAGTTAGAGAAAGCAAATGCTGTATAATCTCACTTATATGTAGAATATAAAACAAATAAACAAATTGAAAGTTGACTGGCTTGCCCCAAATCTCACAGCTGGTGAGTGACAAGATCAGGACTCAAATCTAAGGCTCATCCGGCGTTCTCTTTCTGAAGATGCCTTGAATGCACTCAAAGAAGAGTGACCACTCACTGGAAATAATGTGGCCATGGCAACATTTTGCCTACCTGACCTAGCAAAGGATTGGAAGGGCTCAAGGATAATAGCATCCCCGAGAGTTGGTTTCAGTTTTTTGGCCTTCATGCTGAGCCACTCAGGCTTTATAACCTAGCTTCTGGAGAGGGAGGCTTGGCTTCTGGCATTTGCTCTGACAGGAAACTGTTTTGAGCTGGACTCATTTCAGGACTGTGGCAACTGCAGGCAGGTAAACATGCTTTGGCAACAAAACAGGTGAGGAAGCAGGGTTCTAGGAGCATGGGAAAGCCTCCCAGTAGGGTGGCTATGCTGAGAGGGTCAACTACTATCTTTTCTTCCTAACAGCTTGATTTTGAGGAAGGAGCCAGTGTGCTTGGCCTAGGCTAGAGGCCATCCTTTTTTTTCCCTTGACAAGTTTCCCTCTAAGAGCAGCAAAGACTCTTCTGCATGCCTACTTTTCTGCTTACCAGCCAACAGCTAAAGGAGGGACCAGGACCTCAGGAAAGCCTTGAGGGTAGGGGTGGGGCTCAAGGCCTGAGCTCAGGCTGTACTCCTGGATGGAACCTTTGCCTCCTGCTTCTCCTGCCATCACCACTGCTCCAGGTCTAGAGCTAGCTCCTCCACTGCTGCACCGTGAGGCTGGAGGCAGGGTGACTGCGGTTCTTCTGGGTCCGAGTCTCCTTTGAGCCAGCGGGCTCTTCTTTTCCAGTAAATCTATACACCCGTCAGTGATGGATACAACAACAAAAATAGCTAAGGCACCATGCTAAATGTTTTGCTCACCTTATCTAGTTTAGTTCTCACATCAATCTTCTCAATAAGTACTATTATTATCCCCATTATACAGATAATGAAACTGAATACCAGCAAGGTGAAGTCACTTGTTCACAATCAGAGAGCTAGTAAATGGTAAAGTTAAAACTCAAACCTAGAGCTATTGACTTCAAAACTAAGTGCATCTACCACAATACAATGATGCAAGCAGGTCAGGGTGGGCTTTCAAGGAACCAGAGTGGGGGAAGACCAGTGGCAGCTATACCCTGACCACCTAAAATCCTGCCTCCTTGAATCCCCTGAGTGGGAGGAAGCCCTTACCCTGACACAGAGGCTACCTTGGCCCCAAGCAGGGCCTGCGAGAGAAGGTGACCTAAGGAGACTGAAAATCCGAGAAGGCTGGTGGTGGTGCAGGAGTAAGCAGAAGTCCATGTCTTCACCACAGGCTGTCCACACCAGCCAGGTGCTACTTTTGGCCACCAGCCACCTGTCTGTGGAGCAACCAGACCCTTGCCACCCTCCTCAGCCCCACTCTCAGGTCACCTCTCCTACTAGCCCCAGCCCCAGGACCCTGGCACAAGCCTTGGTATTCACTGTCTTGGGCTCCAATCACTGTTTTAGCCCCTTTATTCTGGGGTTACCTTGTCTTTGGACCTGAGAGCAGAGTCACTGTGTGTAGCCACTCCTTCCTCCCTTTCATTCCTGGGAAGACCCAAATGCTGGCAGATGAAGAAGGTTGCAGAGCTGAAAATCTTGCTCATGCAAGGCCCTGCAGTGGGGTAAGAAGAGAACTCTGATCTGCTCCTGGGTACCTGAGTGACCTTAGACAGGTCATATCCCTTCTCTAAGCCTTAGTTTCCATATGTACAGTAAAGGAATTAGATTCAAGACTTCCTAAGGGCCTGTCTTGCTTTAATTACTCAAGCGGAAATGCTGCCACTGAAGCTTGGGCCTCCAGATAACCTCCCCTCCCCTCCCCTCCAGAAGGCCCAGCAAGGCCCAGCTGGGTTCCCATTTCTGCCTCATCCTCCTATCAACTCCAACTGAGTTGCCATTCCACTTTGGGCTGTTTTTCACTTTGCAGAAATCCCCCCCCACCACCACCACGATATTGCATCCCTGTCTTCCAGCCAGCCAACATGTATGCAAGCAGTAAGGCAGGAGGCTCCTCAGAGGCAAGCAGTTCTGGTGTGTTTATTGAATTAAGAGGAGGAAGAAAGTACTTGGTACTTTCATATGTTGTTCCCCTCTACCAAAGTACTCTTTCGTCCGCTCTTATTCACCCCCCTCCACTTTGGGAGGTACCGTTCTTATGACCAGTTCAGCCCAAGCTACAACAATCTTTCTTCCTCAGCACATCCTGTTCACCTAGACTGTCTCCTGGTCTAAGGAGTGGAAATGGGTTGGGGGACATTTATAGAGAACCTAAAACATGTCTTGCTCCCTAGCCAGGAAATGACTTACACTTAGTGCCCACCCAGGGACAGTGAGCAGCTATGTGCACACAGGCAGGGTGACTGCAGAAAGCCAAGGTTTGGTCAGCCTAGATTCATTCTGATGTTGTTTCAGGCAAGCCCCTGCTACTCAAAGCCTCTTGAGTGGGCAGCTGGCAGATGTTGGTGTCATTTTTAGGGATCTGAGCAGTGTAGGGGGATAGAATTGGATGACAGGACAGGACAGGACAGATGGCCTCTGTTCTGCGGCTTAGCTACCTACTCCCTTCCCAGGCCCAGAAAGCTCCCACCCATGCAGAATCCTTCTTATTAGCTCCAGGGCCTTTACCCACTTCATGAAAGGCTCCTGGGTCCTTATTGGGGGAATGTGTGTCCTCCCCTGGGGCCCTCCAGAATGTGGGGTTTTTGCAAACTTAGAAAAAACTGTGACAAATGCCCCTGCTGCCCCCGGCCAGAGTTTGCATGCACCTCCTTCTTACCCCCACTCAGCTCACCTGAGGAGGACCTGCCCTGGCAGGGTCCAGAGGAAAAGGAAGGAGAGGGTTGCAGGAACTCGAGTTGTCATTCTGCAGGGACCCTGGAGAACCCTTTCTCAGCCTGGTTGCCAAGGTGAGAGGGGATATCCTGAGGGGACTGCCGAAAGTACAGAGCTTTCCTCCAACTTGGTTAGCTCACAAGGAGCCTGCTGGGCCAGGCTAGGAGTTCTCTCTCTCTCTCTCTCTCTCTCTCTCTCTCTCTCTCTCTCTCTCTCTCTCTCTCTCTCTCTCTCTCTCTCTCTCCTCTTTTCCTCTGCCCTGCTGTTACCAGTCAGGGGCCAGAACTCTTTCCCTGGAAATGATCTTGACATAGATAACCCTAACAGCTCCTGCTCTGGCTCGCCTAGAGCCTGGACTCTGCTGGTGGCAGGAGCTGGAAGAAATTTTCTTTGGGCAGTAACTAGTCTCCAAACCCTGGGGAGTCTTCGAAGAGAGAGAGGAGGGAGACTGGGAGAAAGATGTTTCCCTTCCTCCCACCTTCCCCCAGATGCACCCTCTGAAAGCAGCAATTTAAAGATACAGTCACTTGCAGTTGGAGTAGGTTTTGGAGCTCATCAGTGTGTTAGGGAGGGGCTTGGGGCTACCGATGCTGCTCTGTCTAGCTTCTAACTCTCCAACTGAAGGAGTGTATGCTGGCTGCCCTGCTTTCTGCTCCCCAGCAGCTTCCCTTTTACCCTGGAGCTACACTGGGGCCCATACTGTACAGTCTTAATGATTTTTATAAAGGGGGAAAAGATCTGAGAGGCTTTAGGTGGAGAAGCCACTGGGTATTCTCAAGCTGACAGCTTCATGTCTGAGAGGAGGATAGAAGGAGGCAGGGGTGCCTTTTCCTCAATCCCCTTGGTGGAGGCACAGGGATGGTGAATACAGAACTTTGGAGTCCTTCACAAATTTGGTCTCCTTGCTTGGCAGTCTGTCTATTTGTCTGGTTGCTTCATATCCTTCATCCTTACAGATGCACATCCTTTTTCTGCTTTCATCCCTTGGGTCATCTCTTGCGAGCTTGGTGGGCCCTCTGAAGTTATCAGAATCCTCCTTTCCCTGACACCCTTTCTCTAGCCCGGCTCCACTGTGGAAGGGATAGGTAGGTGTCCCTGCCCGGGCCAGGGCAGAACTGACACACAGCAGGCTTTGTAAGCTTCAGAGGAGTCAAGAGGTCAAGAGCAATGACCCAGCAGCTGGCAGCCATGGACAGAGGAGAAACGCAGGGAGGGTGGACCTTCCCCACCCTCTCCTCTCCCTATTTGCTTACAAACATCCAGGTGGTTCAGCAGCTCCATGTCCTCTGCTGGATCCTTCCCAAATTCCCTCATGCATAATCTAACCTACTCTGGCACTTACCCAAGTACCTTGCCCTCCCTCACTCCCTCCATACTCTTCCTTCCTCTCTCTCTGGAGCTTTCCTTTATCCTTTCTCCATCTCCATTTCCCTCCCTGTTTCTTCTCTGTCTCACCTGTGTCTGCCTCCCCCTCTTATTTTGCTCTCACATTCTTTCCATCCCTATTTCTCTTTCAGTCTCCTGTCATCTCCATTCTCTCACGTTCTCTTCCTAAATTACAGCAGTGAAAAGCCAAGGGTTTTAATTTCTTCTTTATTGGAAATTCACACACCTGCTCTGCTGAGTTCTGAGTGTGTGTGCTTGCGGGGGGAGGGGGGAGTTTGGTGTCACTTTACAGGGGTCAATCACAGAGTTAACTGCAGCCTCCAGCCTCACCAGAGAGAAGTTTGTGGGGATTCTAAGCTCTTCTACGGACCCATTGGGTACTTAGAAGGGTTAATAATGACAAGACAATAATGGATGGGACTTGTGGCTGTGTAATTATTAAAGAGAAGGAATTTTAAAACCACAAATGAAAGGGAAGGAGGACAATTTTAAATAATACACACTGAAATGTTGATGGGGAAGTTGGGCTTTTGGAATTGGTACTGGGAGGATTACAAACCTCAAATAATGCTTATATGGCCCATAAGTACCAAGTACAGTATTAATTTTCCTATAAACATTTTTAGCAGCCTTTTTACCTGCTCTTCCTCCCTCCTTGCTTTCTTTTATCATCATAATCCTTACTCCAAAGGTAGGAACCAAGCCTACAGAACCTCCCAGGGAAGGGCTCCAGGCCAGGGAGCTAAGGGCAGGTGGTGGTGGTGGTGGGTGTTGGGAGGCACTTGGCTTCTCTGTTTAACTCCCTCCCTACAACAAACCTAATCATGCCCCTTCTGATGCCTCAACTGTTCCTTATTGTTCTCGGGCTAAAGTTCAAGGGGCCAGTCTGCTTGTCCCACTGATGTATCTAGACTTGTCTGTCTTTTCAGCTTCCAGGTACTTTCACATGTTGTTCCCCTCTACCAAAGTACTCTTTCGTCCGCTCTTATTCATTCTTCTAGACTAAGTTTTGCTGTCACTTTCTCTAGAACTTCCTGAACTCCCTCCGTCATCCCCAGGTCTGGGTTAGGAGACCTTCCAAGGTGTTCCCGCAGGATCCTTGCCTTCTCTCTTCCCAACATCCCTCACACTCCATTATAGTTGCCAGCTTACTTGCACTTTTCCCTCACTATACCACAAGGCTATACCATGAACTCCCTAAGGGCAGAGATGCATTATCCACCAAATCCCCAGGACCCAGGTCAGAGCATGGCACATTATTGGCAATTGGTGAACATTTGTTAAAAGATGCATCATGGGCACCCAGAGACACTTCCTCAAGCACAGTGCCTCTGTATCTTTCTCTGTCAAATAAGAATGAGAAGTTTGACATGCAGAGAGAGGTCCAGCAATGGAGTAATAGTAATAAGGAGAAAGGAGGAAGCAGTTTTCCTTCCCTTGTCCCTTAGGCCTATGGCATCACATTCAGTCATCTGGAATTCTTGGCTAATGGAAGGCAGGTTCATTGTCTTGGTGTCACCTCCTGTGTGCCCGTGGGATCCCTGAGTGCTGAGAGCAGAGCATGGTCAGCTTGCTGGAAGGAAAGATCCCTTTTTATGAGAGGCTGTAGCAATGACCAAATGTCTGTCTGTCATGAAAAAGGGATACAGCTTTCCTAAGATGCTGGAAGAAGACACTTGGGAGAAGAAGGGAGAAAAAAGAGGCAAAGAGCTGGGTAGGCTACTCCTAGAAGTTGATAAGCATCAGGGAAGATGCCCATTCAAGAGTTTCCTGTACCAACAGGAAACCATACTCTCTCAAGATGACCTCAGCATTCTGGTCTGGGAAAAGTACAAAGTTGTGTTCAGCCTTTCCTCATATCCTTTTGTCTTTTTAAAAAAATATTTTATGTTTTTATTGACTTCAGAGAGAGAAAGGGAGAAAGAAATAGAAACATCAATGATGACAGGGAATCATTGATTGGCTGCCTCCTGCATCCTCCCACCCCCACTGGGGATTGAGCCCAAAACCCGGGCATGTGCCCTGACCAGGAATCGAATAGTGACCTCTTGGTTCATGGGTCGACACTCAACCACTGAGCCATACCAGCTGGAACTTTTTTATCATTTTATTATCAAATTATGGTGTATATGAATCTCTATGTTCCAAAATACAGTAGGGCTTTGACTTACAAGTGTTGTGACTAACGAGTTTTCGAGATACGAGCCATCTCTCGGCTAATTTTTTGCTTTGAGTTGCGAGCTAAAATTCGGGTTATGAGCCAGCTTCAGATACCCCACCGCTAGTTGGCGCAGGGAATGTCACAGTGAACACCACAACATCAGCCCAGCATCACGTGTCTCACTTGTTCACTGTTGATTTGACATATGAGTAATTTGAGTTACGAGCTCTGTCACGGAACAAATTAAACTCATAAGTCAAAGCCCCACTGTATATTGTACCCATTTCCTGTTTTGCAATTGGCTGCCACATTGGTCCAAAGGCTGGTTGTATTGTGATGCTGAGATTGTGTAGAAGCTATAATAAGCAAAGTTTTTTCAGTATGAAAGATATTATTTCATAATGAAAAAATGATGGAGCTGCTAAAAATGGATTAAACATATTTTCATAAATGTTTCATTTTAGGAAAGAGTCTGTCATATTTCAGCCCTATGTAAGGCAAATTACAATTGTGCTTTCCTGACAAGCAGGCTTCCTGAAACCTCAGTCTGAAGAGCAGTAGGTCTATATTGGGATGGATATTATTTAATGATTTCTAGGGCTTAATTTTGGAGGCAAAGTTGGAGAATCACTTGGCATACCTTCCTGAACTCCTCCATATTGTCTATCCCACTATTGAAGTAGGAGGTGGTCTGAAGGGTACCTCAAAGAGGCAGGTTGTGTCTTCAATTTGAGGAAATTCCCAGAACATTAGCTACTTTTCAGAAGTGTTTGGGAGAGAGAGAGAGAGAGAGAGAGAGAGAGAGAGAGAGAGAGAGAGAGAGAGAGAAGATGACTTTTTAAAATCTGCTGAGGAGGACCCAGGAGTTTCAATTGGATCTCCAAGGAGCAATGCTGCATCTTTTTGCTGTGTGTATTTTTCTTTTCAGGGTCATTTTCAACCTCCAAATTTGTGACGGTTTACTTGAATGTGAGGGTTCAACCTTTGGTGCTGAGTGAATACTGCTGGCTGAGGCAGGGAGTCCTTTTGCCCTTCAGATTCAAGGAGACATACTTATTGTGTGGGGGTAGTGGTGACAGTGGGAGTTTCACAGTCCTTGACTCAGCTGGAGGAAGAAAGAACAAAATGGCAGATGAATTAGACATGTTCAGTGCTCTCCTAAGATTTTTGGAGAGTGATTGGTTTGATTAAGTATGATGTTTCAAAGATTTGCCTTCTTTCTTTTTATGGAATATTTCAGTTGGGTTTTGCAGACAAAACCTGGGGTAATCTAAACTTAGAGAGAGGGGAGCCTGTGAAGAGGTTAATTGAACTTCCAGTTCTCAAAGACAAACGAGGTATCAGCACCAGGATAGTACCAGTGAGCACTGGACCTGAGAGCCTCTGTTGCTAGGCTTTCTGTTTAGCGTCAGGGCACAAGAGAGAAGTGGGGCTCCAGCCAGGGAAGGTGTATTGACTAGCACCTATGTATGCACCATTTCTC